TCAAATGTGAACGAGCCCTTAGGGTTTATTATCGCTTTAAGGGCCCCTTTCACGCAGGCTTTCAGTCTGGGTCCAGACTGAACCACAATGTATGTCTATGGACAAGCAGATACATATGTAGTTCACATTTTTCCATTGCCATGATGGGTTGACTAGGTGTGTTGAGGTGACATAGCTTCTAGTTTTGTCCATTTTACTGTGTGATGAAGTAACGTTCAGCAAAACATGCATTTTATGCATGCACAATACAATATTCTGAATAAATCCTCAGTGGAAAGGCTCCATTATTATGATGACGTACAGAGATTCAGATTTTTCATTCCTGGCTGGCTCTCCTTAACCACTTACTGTCCACCAAGCAAACAAAACATCTTGGATGCAAGTGGTTATAACAAGTTAAGCATAATTAGCCACAGGGAAACAAGTTGAGAAACACTCATGTGTAAATGAGGGCTCATGGTACCCAAAATGGAAAAAAAAAAAAAAAAAAGGTTTTCGCTTTAGTTGTAGTTGCACTAAAAGTTCCATTAAAAACCAAAATCAAGTAATTCAGTTGACCAAGTTATCACTACAATTATTAGTCGTTTATGTGCCAACAAAATGGCTGTCTTTTCAGGTTACACGGCACTTTAATCAGTTTCCAGCAGAGCACAGCAATATCAAGTAATTGCAAGACAATGTACACAAGACGTGTATTATAAATCACACTGGAGCACTCTGCTATCCAGTTGCATCTGCTGCCTGGGTCAATCTCCTATTATGTGCTAATTCATTGCAGGGAATCTGGATATCCTTTGCTCCTAATCAGGATAAAAGAATGGCCTCACTGAAATCAATGTGCGGCAAATCATCTTAATCTAGTTTGGATTATTCTATCTTTTGTCTACGACTGTATTAAACTCGTTGATGCAGTAATTTAAGGTTGGGTAGCACAAAATGCTAATACATTGTATAAGGCTGTTTCTGTTATCCGTAGGCAGCTATCTGAGCTAGTCAGGTCACTCCGTGCTTGGTGTTTGCTGCACCTCAGAATCACTGGAAATGTTAAACTGTGGCTGTCTTGGACAAACAACGTCCTAAATGAAAGCAACATCCTAAAGACAAATAAAGTGGTTACAAAGACAGGAGTATCATGTAAACGAATGTGCGAATATCACACTCAAGTTTACAAAAGGACTGCTAAATTACATACTCTCATGACAATATCTGAATAACCCACTTCCTGATGATTCCTAAAATAAATACAGTTTCATAGGTAATTTTTCATATTATTTAGCTCAACCTTTTCAACACAAAGGTACCCTTGAAATAACTTTCTGGTCTTAGGGAACCCCTACTAAAATTACTATATCTACATCTCCTGACACATTAGTGTGATGTTAAGTGAAAAAAATGCTCCTTACACTTGTGGTCATTGGCAAAAATTTCCTCCTTACAGACAAGCTAAAAAAGATCAATGGCGTCAGTGGGAACTCATCTGCGAGGCAGAAATTGTTCATTGCTCAAGGAAACCCTAGCAACCTCTGGAGGAACCCTAAAGTTCATAAGAAACCCTGGTTGAGAAACCCTGAATCAGCTTAAAGCGAAACTTCAGCTAAAACATTTATTTTAAGTGATTGTCGGCACATGGTTACTTGCAAAAGAAGTTCATCCCTATAAAAAAAAAAAAAGTGTATACTTAACTTGCTGGTCCATCTATCGTTTACCTTCCAGGTTATACTTGCCTTCTTGGCCCATCTACAAATTTACCTTCTTGGTCCATCTGCCATTTACCTCCCCAGCGGTTCTTACCTTCCTGTTCAGGGGCGGACTGACCATTTGGAAACTCGGGCACTGCCCGAGGGCCCGGGGTCAGTAGGGGGCCCCATGAGATGCCCCTAGTACCTTTTTCATAGGCTTTTTTGAGTTTGGGCAAGGACACAGGGGCCCCATGATCCCCTATTGCCCGGGGGCCCCATGAGTTGTCAGTCCACCCCTGTTTCATCTGCCATTTACCTTCCTGGTCCATCTACCATTTACTTTTCAGGTTATACTTACCTTCCGGGTCCATCTACCAATTACCTTCCCAGCTTTTCTTAACTTCCTGGCCCATCTGCTATTTACCTTCTTGGCTATACTTGCCTTCATCCACCATTTATCTTTCCAGCTATACTTACCTACTGTACCTGGTCCATCTACCATTTTCCTTCTTGGCCCATCTGCCATTTACCTTCCCAGCTTTCCTTACTTTCCTGGTCCATATACCATTTACCTTCCAGGATATACTTACCTTCCTGATCCATATATCTTCCAGGCTATACTTACCTTTCTGGTTCATCTACCATTTACCTTCCCAACTACACTTACCATAGCAGATAATCTACCTCTTACTTTCCCAGATGCCCATGTCTTAAAATAAAATATAGCTGTTGCACTGCTCTCCAACTGCTTCACGTATTCCACACTTCCAGGAGTGTAAATAACTGCTCCTCCCACCGACTTGTATGTCATTACAAGACATAGGAACTGAAAGAGGAGCAATAATAAGCTCTGGAAGGGTCAAAAACCTGCTGCAACCAGGCAGTGAAGAGACGTCATTTAAAGACATGGGCAAAGCAAGTATAGATGAGCTTCTTTTACAGATTGTCCTTCTTTAATGAGTGACCCTGTGGTGACAGGCTGAGATTAAGCCCTGTCAAAACTGTGCTACTTTCTGAAATCTGTAGCTTTACTGCAATGACCATACCTGCGACTCGGTCAGAAAGTGCAGGGCAAGTCTCCCAGTAGGGGTGCAGGAAGCAATAAAAAAAACTGATCTGAGATTTAACCTAGGTGTGTAAAACCAGTGTTTGAGCTGCATAAAACATGTCCCTCCTTTGTGGTCAGTGTGGAGAACAACCTGTACCTTTAGTACACTTTATCTTTAATCCCCTTGCTCTGAGCCCAAAGTTGGGCTTTAATTCAAGCATAGACCATTTTGTCTTTTGGAAAAAGCAAAAAACAAAAAAAAAAACACACAACAGACTCGGTGCACTACACTACGGTTCTACATTACTATACAACTGTACATACATAAAATAAAAAGGTAAGTTATGAACATGGTTTACGGGGCTAATTATTTTGATGCCCTACAATATCAAAGGGATAGATGGCGGCTGGTGCTATAATGGGATTTTAACTGCTTGGTATTAAGAGGATTAAAGCTGGCCATACACATGTAGATTTTCGGACGACAATATTTGTATGAAAAGTTGTACGAAAATTCTTTGAACATTCGGTGAATGGACGAATGTTGTTCAAAATTGTCCTTTGCTTTTAACATTTGAGTTTAAAAATGCATGTCATTTCTGAACAATTACCACATATACTGGCTGAAAGTTCTCGATCAAAGGAAAAGTTTTCCTTCCATCCCCTTCGAATATTCCCTTCACTGCGGTCGAAAACAAACATCGATTTGACCCAACTAAAGGTTATTAAATCAAACGAATATTCTTGAAACAAAAATTTGTGAACAAAAATCTATATGTGTATGGCCAGCTTAACTCCTTGTTAACAATTACCTCATTTCCAATACACTGATCTCAGCTGAAAGCACTGTGAACCAGGGGTTAAATATCTCTCACTGCGAAGTGATTAAAATATGATGTGTAGCTTCAGCCCTTTGCTATAAGACATGCTACAATCCTCCCTCATCTTGTATAGTAAACAATCTAATACAGTATGTTCAGGATACAGGTGCCAGGCAGATCTTTTCCAGCCTCATTTAAGTCCTCTCAAAGATTGCAGGGCATCATTTTAAGAGTTGTTGTACATTTTACTGTCAAACACATGCACAGAAAAAAAGGTGATTGCATTTATGCTGTATTTATGGAGAAACCCATAGATGTTGATTGGTGCAAACAGCATAGAAACAGAAAAGAAAATTAGGACTTTGATGATATAGTATGCAAACTTTAAAGCATGACAGTAGACACTGGGTCCCTAGCGTCAATCACGTCATTCTGATGCACAACTTCATTCAGAACAGACTAAATTAAATAGTGTCCCACTATGGTCATAATTTTGCCAAAATGCTATTTATTTAATCAAAAAACATTTATTTTTTGCCATTTGTCATCACTCAACATTGTCTCAAAAATGAGAGACCCACTTTACAATCTTTAGTATAGTGACCAAAGTCACCAATGTTTCAATCTCAGACTGGCATTATTCCCAATCTAATATGGATCTATCCTCCCTTATTATAAAGATGGTTTGATACAATTGATGCAAGTGTGTATTGATCTGCAGCTGAACATGCATACATTTCACACACGCAATACTGTACAGCGGAGATTTTCAAGGGATACAAATCTGACTATTTTCTTTCATGATGTGTCACAGACCACAATATTTAGCTATAAATTACAGGTGTACAATGTTCAGCTGCATTGGATGAATTGCTACGGAGTTTGAAGCAAGCTTCAAAAGTTGAAAATTAAGCAGAAATAGTGTGACACAGTCTTCTAATGAGTACTACTAATTGTCACCTGTCCTTTGCCCTTAACCTCCCTAGCGGTATGATTATTTCAGATTTTTGGTGCTGAAAACGGTACCATTTTTTTGTATGGAAATATGTATTTTTTTTTATTGTAGGCCTGTAATTTTTAGGAATAACGCACTGAACTCTGTCCGAACAAGAGTCTGGTAAACATTCCGGATATGATAAAAACTTGAAACACAAAATCATACATTATAATTTTAATAAATAATCATAAAAAATAATATAATAATAATATTAAATTAAATAATATAATCAAACCAAAAACACTGAAATTTAAAATATAGCGCCAAGTTCGCACATCACTGAGCAAAGTCGCAGAATCGTTTTCAGTGTCTGATGATGAATTTCACCACAAATCATTATCACTCAATTCTGCAAGTGGTTCTGATTTACTATCGCTGTTCTCTAGCTGGTCTAAAACCGCTTTTGACATAAAGGGACGCTTTTTGGACGCCATGGACTTTTCTAAGTTTCCAGGCAGAAAGAACAGTCAAAATGCAGGCAGGGGACAGGACAAAGCAGTAGGGACAAAATGTATGTGAAATGATATGAAACAGCAATGTTTTACTATGCAATAATCATTTTTTTAAAAAATTTTTTTTAAAAAATTTCAAATTTGCGCCCGTACATCCCGACGTCACAGGGACCGGAACATGGAAGCTGGATGCCGGCATCGGCCGGAGGAGATGGCCGGGGATGCTGCAGGGGACGCATCGTGGGAGCGAAGGACAAGGTAAGTGCTGCAGGGACTCCTTACGCAACGCTGCATGGTAAGCCCGAGTGTAGCTCGGGATTACCGCTTTTGGTACTGACACTTTACCCCGAGCTACACTTGGGAATACCGCTAGGGAGGTTAAAAGTGTTTTTTAAACTTTTTTTTATTTTTTAAACAAACATGTCATACTTACCTGCTCTGAGCAATGATTTTTCACAGAGAAGCCCTGATCCTCCTCTTCTCAGGTCTTACGCCAGCACTCTTGTCTCCTCTCCCCACCGTGTGCCCCCATAGCAAGCCGTGTACTTTCTCCCGATCCCCGCACATAAGACACACAGAGCATGGCTCGGCCCCTCCCCCTGCTCACTGGCTGTGATTGCCAGCAGTGAGAGCCAATGGCTCCCTCAGCTTTGTCTAAGCCAATGAGGAGGTAGAAAGCCTCTGCTGTCATGACTACCTGAGCCTGATCGTGATCCAGCAATGTGCACAAAAAGGGGGCTGGGGGGGTAATGGAGTTGCACACTGAAGGTTTTTTTTTTTTAATCTTAAAGTGCAACTAAAGGCAAATCTTTTTTTTTTTCATTTAAAGTTTTGGATAGAGCGCAGCGGGATTAGAACACTTGTCAGTTTTTTTTTTATTGCTGTGTCCCCAATAGGGAGATTCACCCTCTCTATTTGTCCTGTTTACTGTACTCAAAAGGTGAAAGTAGAAAAAAAAAAAAAATCCCAAACTTTGGGTTGTCCCCACAAAAGTAATAGAGCGGAATTTTTCCAATGGGGATACTAGTTCTGGAGACCAGAGGCTCCCCAAGAAATTCCTTTAACGGCCTCCCGCCCGCCATATAAGGTAATGACGGGCACAAGGCGGTTCTCTCGTCCTGGGAGGACGTCATATGACGTCCCCCCACTCTAACCACGCATGTGAGCATCCGGGAGCGAGCAACGCGGCAATCGGTGGTGCGCTGTATCCGATCACCGATCAATGGAAAGAGCCAAAGATGTCGGCTCGGTCATGTGATCAGTTGTGTCCAATCACAGCTGATCACATGTAAACAGGGAAATGCTGGTTATCAGCATTTCTCTCCTCACGCTAACAGCTCGAGGGGAGAGGAGATCCAGTAATCGGCATTCCTAGGAGGGACATGTACACTGATCATCAGGGCACTGATGATCAGTGTGCCCTGATGATCAGTGTAGCCCCAGCAGTGCTACCTGTCAGTGCCCATCAATGCCAGCTGTCAGTGATCATCAATGCCACCTGCCAGTGCCCATCAGCGGCTCGTCAATGCCACATATCAGTGCCTACCAGTGCCCATCAATGCCACATCAGTGCCCATCTGAGCTGCCTTTCAGTGTCACCCATCAGTGCCCCCTATCAATGCCCCCTATCAGTGCGCATCAGTGCCGCCTATCAGCATCATATATGCGTGCTGCCTTTCAGTGCCTATCAGTGATGCCTGTCAATACCCATCAGTGCCACCTACCAGTGCCTCCTCAGTGTCCATCAGTGCCACCTATCAGTCAGTGCAGCCTATCAGTGCTCATCACTGCAGCCTCATTAGCGCACATCAGTGAAGGAGAAAAATCACTTATTTACAAAATTTTATAACAAAAACTAAGAAAACACTTTTTTCTCCCTGTCAGTTACTGCACACTGCTTTGTATGGCTTTGCATAGCACTCACACAGCACACTGTGAAACAGTACACTGTGAAACAGCACACAGTTAACCCCTTGATCGCCCCACATGTTAACCCCTTCCTGCCCAGTGCCATCAGTACAGTGTCAGTGATTTTTATTAGCAATGATCACTGTATTGGTGTCACTGGGGATGTCAGTGGCACCAAGTCAGTTCCCCCCAGTGTCAGAATGCCTGCCACAGTCCCACTATAAGTAGCTGATTGCCACCATTACTAGTGAAAAAAAACATTTCCAGTATATACTGCCATTTGTAAACACTATATCTTTCACATAAACCAATTAATTTACACGTATTGTGTTTTGGTTTTTTTTTTTTAGCAAAGACGTAGCGAATACATTTTGGCCTAAATTTATTACAAAATTAGATTTTTTTTATTTTTTACTGGATATGTTTAATAGCATAAAGTCATAAAGTCAAATAAGTACCTTTTTTTGGTTTATAGTGCAAAGAATAAAAAAACGCACAGGCGATCAAATACCACCGAAAGAAAGCTCTATTTGTGGGGAAAAAAAAAAAAAGGATGTCAATTTAATTTATGTACAGTGTTGCATGACTGTGCAATTGTCAGTTAAAGTAACGCAGTGCTGTATCGCAAAAAATAGCCGGGTCAGGAAGGGGGGGTAAATCCTCTGGAGGGCAAGTGGTTAAAGTAAAAAATCTTCTGGGCTGTAGAACCACTTTAAAGACGAACGGACATAAGAACATGGGGGCTTCCAGTGCTGGCTTTCCTCTGAACATGTTAGTAGCCTGGATGTATATGACTACCAAACTGTAGCTTGACAGAAGCCAGTTGTTTGACTAAGTTCTTTCAGAAGGGACATTTGGAAAAACTTTTGTATTCTGACAGAGGCAGGTGACTTTATCAGAATAAAAGTCTCAGCTGGGGGAATTTCTCTACCCACCTTGGTTCTGTGGATGGAGGATTTTTATTATTAATCAGCCCAATAGCTGAAAAAAAAACAATACAAATAGAAACAAATATAGACTACCTACCTTTCCTGTGACAGAGACAATTTAAGGTAAGCCATTGTGACCACCTGGTGCAGAGCAATTATGCATATTGGGAAAATCAGTGTAAAGATAGAAGCCCATACAAGTATAGGTTTCCTGAACTAATGATTAGTGGTAGTGTAAAGCGTATATGGTTAAAAAAAAAATTTTTAAATTACATTTCCACATTGTATTTCTCCTCTCCTGTCTACTCCTATTTATCTGAATGATCCTAAAGTTTGTAACATTACTTTACGAAGATCCCCACACATTAACCCTTGGTTCACATCTGTGCGGGTGAACACACACAGAGGAATGCAGGACCCAAGGGTGGGTGCCATTAATTCGAGTCGCACGCCGCCCTCACTGAAAAAAAGAAGCCTGAGCCTGGTTCACACTAATGCAATTTCAGATGTGATTTGAGTTGCACAGAATCACATGACAAAGGAAATCACATTGTTATCAATGGTGACTATTCACATCAATGCCACTCAGAACGGAACGATTTTGGAACAGGTTCCTCTACTTCATTGATAAGGTTTATATATTCTAAGGGGACAAAATTACACTGGAATCACACCAAAGTTGCATCCAAATTGCACTACATAATCGCACTGAAAATCGAATTAAAATCATATGGCAGCAATGTGAACCTAGCCTTACACTCTTGAATTCTGTCATACATTCACTATGCCCTGTGAGTTGGCACTGCTGTGTCACACATTTCAACGAGCCTGCCTTCTGAACTACAGAGGTGATGAAAGGAGGAGTTTCAGGAGGTGGAGTAAGTACAGGAATCACTGTTTGCAGCCAGGTACCATGGGGTATGTAGTCCTTAGAAATTGAAAGTAAACAGCAGACGAGAAGCTGCAAAGCATGCAGGACGTTTTAGAAAGAGATGACCAGCAGACAGGCAGAACTTACATCATGATATTATTCAAGTAAATTTTTATTGGATTGTCAAAGATAACTATTGTTTGTATTGTTATTACAATGCTGATGTTATAAAAATTAATGTGTATGCTGTAACCATAAAAACCTCTTTAACGTATTGAAGCAAGAGGGCCAGCAAGACAGCCAGGAAACTAGCATGCACAAAATAGGATATATCAAAATTGGCAGCCACTGTGTTTTTAATAAAATTCTAGGAAGTCTTCTGACATGTGCACAGCATTTTTGCGCTATCACTTGAGCTGTATTTATAAAATAATACAAGTACACTGACACGCAGAGAGGTCATCGCATATTTGCCAAAAGCACAGCAATAGCAATGTCAGCCATAATTGAGGACACAGTGACCTCTCAATTCTTAGGTATTTTTACTTTTTTTTTTTGTGTTTCTATGTAATTAAATTCTCCCCATGATAAACAAGTCACTAATGGAGCCTGTAAGGTTCCAGGTAATGAAATAATTGGTGTCAAACCTTACAGCAGAAAAATATGTAAAATGAATTTAATTGGTGGGGATTTTTTCCTACTAATAAGAAGAAAATCAACCAACAGTTCATTTCCGGTAATATAACATTAATTCTCTCATATGATCTCCAACTCCTGAGTTGGGACTAATCTTTGCTGTCACATCAACAGTTTAAAACAAGCACTTGACAATCCATTACGTGACTATTCTTTAAGATGAGTTAAAGTGACTCTGCCAGAAAAATCAACTTTGGTGGTGCTGGAAAGCGAAGTATTCATATTATTTTGCATTATTGCAAGTACTCCTTTGCCAAACACCACTCCATTGAAAGAAGAGGATTCCCTTGGTAAAGTCACACTTCCAGGAGTGTTGATCTGTGTCCAAAGCAGCACTCAAGAACACAAAGAACCTAGTAGTGATGTTCACCTGACCTACTTTACAGATTTTTAAGCCTCCCATACGTGTCCCATACCTATTGGGAGCTTAGCGGTTCTGGGGACATTGACTGATTCTCTCCAAAGATATATTGAGGATACTAGTTTAAAGTATTTTGAAAGAGAAAATTGCTTAAAGTGTTACTAAACCCTGGACCCTGCATTCACTATATCTAGTCTCCTACAGTACACAGAACATGGAAATGCAATTATTTAATAACTATAAACTGCTAAATACCTTTTCTCATCAGCAGTTAGAGCAGTCTTGTGACTTATCAGTGTTCAGCAAAGCACTGGTTAAAGCTTGTAGGAGGAGTTTTTTTTCTGCTCTAGGATGATGCAGAACCCCTGACCTCTGTCTGGACAGTGCTGATTGGCCCTGTGCTGATCACATGCACTTTCCCAAGAAAAAAAAAAAAACAACCTCTCTAGCAATACACACCAAACTGAGCATGTGCAGAACGTCTCCACATGATATGTCTTATCAGGAGATAAGAGGGGGACACTGGCAGACGGGGAAGATCAGACAAGACAGGATCAAACAGCATTTTTACACAATGCAGAGGATTAACTCCTTAGGTTCCACAGTGAGTATAACAAGCATGTTTTACTGCATATACAGACTGGTTTTACTGTTGCTGGTTTAGTAACACTTTAAACACTAAAAGTTTGTTTTTCATAGCCTATCCATAACTTCAGAAAAATGGAGCAAAAGGAACAACCTTTTTTTTTTGCATTCTCTGTTCTGCACTATATATGCATCTAAGCACTTACTACTGCTAGCACAGAATCTTCTTTCCTCCAGTTTTTCTAAATCAGTCTTTTTTTATATTAAAAGATCATGGAAAGCTATTTTTTTATTGTTTTGAATTACATCTTTGGAGAACAGAGCCATCCTCGATGTAGTAGACATAAAAATACAGTGGGATGTAATGACATGATTTCTTCCAGAAAGCATTTTGTCTCTGTGTAAATGTATCCTACTAAATGAGATTGGTCAGGGCCAAGCAGAGTGTAGAAAGATTTACATTGTAAAACTGCAGCTCCCGAATGACTGAAATACTTCTATGGTTCACATAAACCGTGACGTAATTACAAAATAAATCCTATAGGAAACAGTGTGTGCAAGCTGCTCTCTTACATTGCCAGGTCCTGTGTGCCTCATGGTACAGAGTCGTCAGCAGACAGGAAAGCCGGCTAAAGTCAGTGCAACATGCAGCAGCTTAAAGTGAAGCAGACGCAGTGTTACAGAGAAGTCGAATGCCATGAGGAAGTTACTCTTACAAAATGTTGCCATTTCCAAGACCTCTCCTTTGGTGGCTTTCATTTAAAGTATATCTAACTCAATTAAATCTCATAAGTTTAACATTTGTGAATGTGCCACTTCCACTAAAAGAATAGCTGGTGAATCTGCCAAGAACAAACCTGTTAAGGCACTGCCGGTTATACTATACCAATGCCACATCCTTGTGTCCAAACTGAGATCCTGCATTGCCATCCTGTCATATGGTCTTCTGATGCAGACTACAATTGGCCATTTCTGTCATATGGTCTTCTGGTGCAGACTATAACTGGCCATTTCTGTCATATGGTCTTCTGGTGCAGACTACAATTGGCCATTTCTGTCATATGGTCTTCTGGTGCAGACTATAACTGGCCATTTCTGTCATATGGTCTTCTGGTGCAGACTATAACTGGCCATTTTCTGTCATATGGTCTTCTGGTGCAGACTATAACTGGCCATTTCTGTCATATGGTCTTCTGGTGCAGACTATAACTGGCCATTTCTGTCATATGGTCTTCTGGTGCAGACTATAACTGGCCATTTCAGCACATATTATGCAGGTATCATCTCACTGTAGTCATCAGGGGACCCCCCAAGATGCCATGCTGCAATCTTTTGAATGCATGCATAAAAGCAGGAAGTGGCTTTAAAAAGCCTGCAGAAGGTCAGC